AAAGCCGCTTATCTCGTGAGTTTTTGTCCTTAACTTTTTGGAGCCCTCCCAGTTGTTTTTTGGCTAATTATTTGAGAATCTAAGTCTGCAGAATACCGAGGTAGGGGCTGCGTCTTTACCTCTGTGTACTGCAGAAACGGCGAACGCGGAGTTTGGTGATTCCGAAGATCATCGAGAAAGATTAAGTAACATGGACTGACACTACTGACTGGAGAGTCGGAGATCAGTAGATACGTATACTGCCTTTTCTAGGGGTTTCTAGATTCTCCGAATCGATACGTTTCCTTTCCTTTTTGTAGATACTCTAAATCTCGCGACTCCTTTATTTTCAATCGTCGCAAGGTGTGGTCACTTGCGGCTATGTCCCCTCATACCAAATGTTTTTCCAAAGTGTAATTTCCCGACCGGACTGTGTGCCTTTTTTCCTTTCCGATAAACTTCATTTCTAGAATTCAATTCAGGCATTCGAAGAAGCACAGTTGCCGCGCCTCAAACAGGAACATCCAACATATCGCTTATCTCAGCTAAAGCAGCTCCTTAAAAAGGAATGGCTAAAATCCCCGGAGAACCCGCTCAATGCCAAACTTATGGCTCTTTCTGCTGTATGAAAAAGAACTTCTCGAGTTTCTCCTTCTATTTGTACATCTATTGATGATTGTGCACTCGTGCTTTCTTACCTTTTTTCACGCATTGTATTTCTCAGTCATTCTTCTCGGTTTTTGAAATGTAAAGTGTGCAGAAACGCCTTGTTAGGCTAGCAATTTCTCACCATTTTCATATATGTAGGTGGAAATTTGCGAAATTGATCCTTATTTCGGGGTACAAGCATATGCAGCACGAGTTAGCTGATACTTAATAAAGATGAAAGAAAACTCTTGTTCCCTGAAGATTATGAGGTTTTGATTCCCTGATTTTTAATAAAGAAAGAAGAATTGTTGGCATATGTGTACTTAGCCTGGTTAGGGGGCGTGCCCGCGCGGCTGCGTTTGGCGCGGAGCCAACTGTTTTTCGCTCTTCCTCCTTCGGCTTGGAACGGGACTGTGTCATATCGTCCGTTCGTTTTCCCCCCATGTTTTCGTTGTTTACCCTCTTATACACTGGTGGTGAATGGATTTGGCGGCACGCCAAACGCAGTCGCACGGACACGCCCCATCA